TAAATGTTATTGTTTGTCTTTGTCACATGAAAAATGAACAAGTGGACACCAGGATAAACAGGTAAGTGTGACAAAAACAAAAGAATGACTTTCTCTGCATCATATGGCAGGAACACATTTAATTAACTGTTTATTCCCCTCCCAAAAAGAAAGAAAAGCAAAAATAAAGAAGAAAAACTCTGCTATAATTAGAACTAGTATTTACCAATAGTTAAGTTGGGCATTAAAAATACAAAAGAAAGGGGCCAGGGATTTAACTCAGTGGTTTCGCTGCCTGCTGAGCAAGCGCAAGGACCCAAGTCAGATCCCTGGTAGCAAATTAAATAAATAAATAAATAAATAAAATAGAAAAGAAAAAAACTAATAATCACCAAATATTGTTTCAGGTAGTGGAAGAACCAGTGAACACAATAAAAATAATACATATTACTTGAAAATTTATGAGGATAGATTTCCAAAAAAGAAAGATAGATAATAAAATGAAAAGGATAATGATACAAAATGGTACCTCATTTCACAAACACTTTTGTTTGAAAATAATTTAGTTCTCAAACAGAGAAACCTTTGTGAAGATTTTGTTTTCATTACAAACTCTCCACTTAGTAACAAACATGACCAGGACCATCTTTCCCACACAAACACAAATATGACCATCTTTTGCAGAATTGTAGAAAAAATTAAATTCACAAACAGAGGTTTAAATATAAATATATATATATATATTTAAAAATAAGTTATTTTTATTAATTTAATGTTTTCACTGAAAAACAAAATAACAAAGCTAGAGGATTCCTCTAGATGACATTGCAAAAGAGCAAGAAAAAGACAAATGCTGTGTACAGTACAGATGTGAATGACAGAATGTTTTAGAAGTACTCATATTATTTTGTCAAAATTTAGAAAGATCCAAAAAAAAGTAGAGAAAATAAAAAAATAATAAAAGAGAAAAACTGAGCTTAAAAACATCATTAACCTTCACATAGCAATTTCCAAGAGAATTTTGATGAAAATGGTGTAAAATGAGATACACTGTGATGACACTGCACAGAAACCAAGCATCTTAAAGGCTTGCAGGAGAAATATGACTATTAAGTCATAAAGAAAAGATGCAATAAACACAAGATACTTTAATTGAAACAAGATTGCAAAGAAAAGTTTAGAAGTTATCTGTGGAACAATATTTAATTACATGAAATTTAAAACAAAGGAAAACGAGGAAAGAGACGAATAGTGTGATAGGAAGGAATTCAGAAATGGACAGTGTCAAAGTTTTTGAAAAAGGGAATTTGTTCACTTATGATAAATCATGTTGAGGAATTGAAAAAGAAGCACATAGGAGTGGACATTAAATTTCAAAACACATCATTTTGGTGGCCCTGGAAAAATTGATTTTATTGGTAGGGAGAACTGAAAGAAAATTTCTGTAAGTTAAAAATAACTGAGGATGAGGAAATGTAGAAATTTTATATATAGTTAATTGGAAAAATCCTGACAGAAGACCAAGTTGAATGTGAAAATTCAGAATGATGTATGGACAGAAGAGATTCTTAAAGAAAATGAAACTTTGAACATCATTGAAGGTTTAGGAAATTGTGAGAATGATGGTGAAATACTGAAATAGGTGCAAATAAGGTTCTGCTTAGTTTTGAGAAGAGACAAATTGTAAAAGAGAAATAATTTTGACAATGCAACATACATTTTCAAATTAGTTGTTGGGAAGATAAATGCTTTCTATTCTGATTTTTCTTTTTTTTTTTTTTAACTGAAAACTACAAGGCTATATATTGTCTTAAAAATAGCTTTGCCAAAGAAACAGACCCAAGGATCAGTGGAATAGATTAGAAGATGCAGAAATAACTCCAGACATAGTCAGCCACCTCATCTTTGACAAAGGAGCTAACCACTCTCATTGAAGGAAAGATAGCCTATTTAATAAATGGTGTTGGAAAACCTGGATTTCAATCTGCCAAAGATTAAAAGTAGACCCATACCTATCACCATGCAGTAAACTAAGATCAAAGTGGATTAAAGATCTAAATATTAAGACAGATACTCTAAACTTGCTGGAGTATAAGTTAGGTAGAACTCTTGAAGACATTGGCATAGGATAAGACTTTATTCATAAAACCTCAGTAGCATGGGAACTAGCACAACAAATCAACACCTGGGATCTCATCTTATTAAAAAGTTTCTGCACTGCAAGAGAAACCATCAACAGAGCTAAGAGAAAACCTACAATGTGGAAAAAAATGTTTAGCAGCTGTACCTCAGACAAAGGTCTACATCTAGAATATATAAAGAATTGAAAAAAATCAGACCACCCAAATTCAAAGACCTAATTCAAAAACAGGCATCTGAAATGAACAGACATTTCTCAGACAAAGAAGTAAAGCAGCAAATAAATATATGCAAAAATGTTCAACATCACTGGCCATTTGAGAGATGCAGATGAAAACAACAGTGAGATTCCACTTCACCCCAGAAAGAATGGCTGCTACAAGAAATCAACTAATAACAAATGCTGGTGGGGGTGTGGAGAGAAAGGAACCCTTCTTCATTGTTGGTAGGAGTGCAGAGTGGGGCAACCACTGTGGAAATCAGTATGGAGACACCTCAAAGAACTAGGCTTAGAGGTCCCATTTGACCCAGCTATTCCCCTGCTGGGGATCTTCCCAAAAGAATTAAAAGAATCATACCACAGTGATATATGTGCATCTATGTTTATAGCAGGACAATTTGTAATAGCTAAAGCTTGGAAACAGCCCAAGTTCCCATCAACTGGAAACTGGATAAAGAAGATGTGGTTTTTTTATAAAATGGAGTACTACTCAGCCATAAAGAATGAGAAAGTAGAGACATTTATAGCTAAATGGATGCACATTGAGGCCATACTCTTAAGTGAAATAAATAGGACACACATGTATAAATACCAAATAGTTTCTCTATTTTGAGAAATTGAAAGTGTAAATAAGGATTAAAATGGTTACAATGAATAATTGATAATTTGAAATAGGAAAATGTCCAAAGGTGTAGTGGTGGTGGGACTGAAAAGTGAAAGGAAAGGAGGGAAAGGAAAAATTATGAGAAAAGAAAAAAATGAAAAAGAAATCTAATTAAATAGGGAAGGGTGGAGGTGGTGAAGGGTGCACAGGTAATGGGAAAAAAAGTAAGAACCAAGATACATCATGTACAGGTACAAACACACAATGATAAATGTAAACTTGTTGTATACCTAAAATGTACCAATAAAATAATTTAAAAAATAGCTTTGTCAGTAGATGTTCACATGAGTCCAAAAGAAGATATTTTAATAACCTTTTTAAGAAAAGGAAAGTGAATCTATCAATGTTAACTTTGTGGTACTTATCATCAAATATTTAAATTGAATTCATGTGGATGCCTATACCATTTTCTAGCTTTCTTGGTGTAGATATAGAAATAATTGACTAAAATTTCCTGCAACCTTGAACTTTTATCAGGATGCAAAGAATGGATAATTCTTTTCAGTAAAATAAATTTAAGGAAGATCTCTGTATTACTGATTGACTAACAGAGAGATGAAACTGAGACAGAAGAGAAGGTCCTGGTTTTCCCCAAGGGTTACTCTTGCTTGTTTGTTTATTATTTTGTTTTCAACATTTGACAGGCACAGCCGTCCAATTGGTGCACAATTGCTTCAGGAGATTTTTGCTTTGGGGGCAGCAACTACATTAGACTCATGCAGGCATATTGTTAGTCTGCCTCATATGACATTTGGATGACTCTATCCCTCTGTAACCATATAAAATATTCTTACTCTCATTCACGTGGAGCTCCTTCGCCATCCATGACTAAACTGACAGTTTCTGATTAACTAGAACAATGTTGTGTGCATGTGAGAGTACACCGTTTTTTGTCTATGTAAACAAATGTCCATTTACTCTTGCTGGATCCTTCTGTATACTGCTTCTCTAAAGGGTACAAACTGCTAAAGCCTTTTTCAGATGGTTCTGTTTTGCCTATTTGCAATTCCTGCCTCTAGTGGAGCAGGTTGAGCTGGTTGTACTAAGAGCTGGTATCCCTAAAGGCTTCTGGTACAAAAAGTGGTCAGCAGCCCGGGGCTGGTCATACTGAGAGCAGCTGTCACATGGAGAATGACAAAAAGCAGTGGAGACCTTCCAGGTGCTGCTAGCTCTGGTGGCCAAGAGTGTTATGGGGACAGCTGATAGTAAGGGAACTGAGTGTCTGGAATTCAGAGCTCGATGCTGGTGACAGTAAGGGAATAGCACTTTACCAATTTCTTATTTGTATCTGAATTGAGCAAAAGAAGCCTAGACTTGCTGCTGACAGAGCTGTGAGAGACAACTGAACAATGAAAATGTACAAATAATAACTTTTGGCACAGTAAGAATGTGGAAATGCTTGGTAGGAGTACTGTACTTAACAGGTTGGTGAGTTAGAAAGTTGTGATCAGGTGGGTATGTTTCAGAGAAGAGGCAAACACTAAACTATCTGTAAATATATTTTCTAATTTATAAAATGTAGTCAGATTTTGCAATTTCTTATTTAAGGGAAAGTCTGAAGAAAAAAAAAGAGAAAAAAATGAAAAAAAATGAAAAGAAAGAAGAGAAAAAGGATACAAATTAATTTCTTTGCCAGACTTTTCTGTAAGAAATAATAAGATAATAATAAGATAAAAATAAGATAAATAATAACAAGATAATAAGAAATAAGATAATAAGAAATAATAACATACATTACATGATGTTAGAGGTCCCTAAGAGGAAGAGAGAAATTTTACCAAGTCAAAACAAATATTTCTGGGACACTAGAAAGTGAATATCCTTAGTGACAATGTTAAACTTTACATGAGCCCAGTACTTGTGTAAAACATTGAACATTAAGAACCCCTGTCCCACCTAGTGTGTTCAGGGAAATGACGCATCACAAAGAATATCCCTTCCTGTGTGACATAAGAGATTCATGAATGCCTCATTTACCAACAAGCACAGAGATGGAACCTCAAAATTCCTGTTACTTCTTGATTAGCTGAACTTCTTGTCTCCATTTATCAATGGGAACAAAATAACTTTTCAATTTTAAGATTCCCTCTTTCCCCCAGGACCATGGCCTTTGGACTACTTTCTGTCTGAGCCCTATCAAACCATTCTGAGAACATGGACTCAGGTAAAAATATTATCTCACTTATTTAGTCACTTATTTGGCTAATCACCTTCCCCACATTGGGCTCTTTCTGGCCATATTTACTCCTCTGGGTAAAAGAAAGCCCCCTTTCACTTAACACTCAAGATATCTGGAAATCTCATAGTCACAGTTTATTCTCTAATATGAAAGTCCCTTTTCTCACTTGCAGTTATCCTTTTGAAGAAGTCTCTCCTTCATAATAAGTCCAGATTTATTTTGTTTACTTGTATATTTGTCTATCCACTCATTTTTTTAAATTTGTGAGTTAAATACAGTGAGACACAGAGGGGGTGGCCTTCCTGTAATTCTCTATTTGACATTTATAGTTTGGGGAAGAGACTTGAATAGACTTGGAAAAACAAAAATAGACTTCAAGGGACTACTGGTAGACCAAACTTATGTAAGGTGAGGATCTGAAGATTGACCATATCTAGTCATAAGAGAAAGTTACAAGTTAGCAGTAAATTAATTTAATAAATGAGTATTAAATAATGTATTGGCTTTTCAGGCATAAAAATTTAGTGATAATGCACAGAGTTTAATCATCATCAATATATACAAAATTCTCTCAGGTTCTTTTTAAAAAATCTCTTTCCCACATAAATCTCCCTTAGATGCCATTACATTAATATGTCTTGATATAGGTTTATGTTATACTATTGGATTTGAATTTGCATTAATTTATTTAAAATATATTCGAGTTCAATCTTTTTCTTTTTTTGCCCCAGTGCTATTTTAAAGACCCACAATAGTTTTGGCATATCCATGTAATTCATAGCTTCATAGTGCTGCATTTTATTACTTATGAATCTACTACATTTCATTTAGCTTCTTACCTAAGTAGAAGATAAGGATTTGAAGGTGATATATTTATAAAGTACTTTATGTCTAGGTTGTGAAACCTCCATTGCTATATGAAATTGGAGACAGTATAAACTTTCAATTGGGCCAATCTGCTTTATTCAGCTCTAAAAATGAAAATGATTAATTTATAGAGAATTTTAAATAATAACCATCCTCTCCACGAGTAAACAAGATTTCATTCACATAAAATCTTCCTCTAATCAGACATTAAAAATAATTTTTATTTTACTTACCTCACACTTCAGAGTTTTCATATGATTATTATATTAATTTGTGTTTATAAGGATTTGTATGCTTTTAAGCATCTTTGTAGACATATTAGCTAATGTGTTTTATTCTGCAGAATTTTTTCTTTTATTTTTTTCTTGCTCTGTATTTCTTTGTAGGATCTAAATAGCAACTACTTATTGTAAAATATGGCAAATTTCTTTTCTGATTTACTTATATATTCTATATCATCTTTTAAATATAAATCTTTAATTTTATGATAATCAAATATAATAAAAAACTTGTAGATTTAAGAAGTTCAATATAATTAAATGAAAAGGTATTCTTTTTCATTTTCTTTTTCAGACTTACAATAAATCTTTTATATTTAAGACAAATTTTAGACTTTTATTTTTTAATTTTTTAATGAATATTATTGGTACATTTAAGGTATAAAATATAATGACATTCATCATTGGAAATTGGCACCATTACATAATCCATTTGGTTCTTATTTTGCCCCATCCCCCTCCCCTCCCTTCAACCCCTCCACATCTCCCTATCTACAAAGACTTTGTTTCCATTTTTTCTTTTTTTCATATTAATTCCATTCCCTTCATTCTTTCCCCTATCCCTCCCATTTCCCCTTCCCATTTGCACCTTTTCTTCCTATTTCACATTATCTGTTATACCCTTTAGTCTTTATTTACACTTTCAGTTTCTCACACTAGAGAAACTATTTGGTACTTGTACATGTGTGTCCTATTTATTTCACTTAAGAGTATCACCTCAATGTGCATCCATTTAGCCATAAATGTCACTATTTTCTTGTTTTTTGTGGCTGAGTAATACTTCATTTTATTTAAAAAAACTCCACATTTTCTTTATCCAGTCTCCAGTTGACGGGCAATTGGGTTGTTTTGAAATTTTAACTATCACAAATTATGCTGTTATGAACATGTGTGCACATATAACACTGTGGTTGCACCAGTCTACACTCCCACCAACAGTGGAGCAAGGTTCCTCTTTCCCCCACAGCACCACCAGCATTTGTTATTAGTTGATTTTATGATAGCACCCATTCTTTCTGGGGTGAGGTGGAATCTCAGCTTTGTTTTCATTTGCATCTCTTGAATGAGCAGCGATGTTGAACATTTTTTCATATGTTTATTTGCTATTTCTACTTCTTTGAGAAATGTCTGTTCATTTTAGATGCCTATTTTTGGATTGGGTCTTTAAATTTGAGAGGTCTGATTTTTTTTAACTTCTTTATAAATTCTAGACATTAACCTTTGTCTGAGGGACAGCTGGTGAAACTTTGTTGCCATAGTGTGGCTTATCTCTTCACACTATTGGTGGATCCTCTTCCTGTGAAGTTTTTCAGTAAGTAGAGATCCCACTTGTTGATTGTGCTAGTTCACAGGTGACTGAGGTTAAGTTCATAAAATATTTTCCTACATCAATTGGTTCAAGAATTCTATCTAACCACTCATTGAACTGGTTTAGTGTTTCTGTTTTAATATGTAGATCTTTAATCCATTTCAACTTTAGTTTAGGACATGGTGAGAGATATGGGTCTAATATTAATCTTTGGCAAGTTAAAACCCAATTTTTCCAGCACAATTTATTACAGAGGCTATCTTTCCTCCAATGAAGATGTTTGGCTCCTTTGTCAAAGACGAGGTGACTTAGTGTGTTTGGAGTTGTTTCTCCATCTTCTAATCTGTTCCACTGGTCCTCAGGTCTGTTTCTTTGCCAGTACCATGTTGTTTTTATCACAATAGCTCTGTAGTATACTTTCAGATTTGGGATTGTGATACGCCCTTACCTTGTGTTTATTGCCTAGAATTGCTATTGGTATTCTAGGTCTCTTCTTGTTTCAAATGAATTTTTTGGATTTTCCATATTTGTGAAGTATGTTGCTGGGATTTCAATTGTGATTGCATTGAATCTATATAGCAGTTTTGGAAGTATGGCCATTTTCACTATGTTAATTCTTCCTACCCAGGACTATGGGATGTCTTTCCATTTTCTGATATCCTCTTCAATCTCTTTTTTCAAAGTGCTATAGTTTTCAGAGAAGAGGTCTTTGATATCTTTTGTTAGGTTGATTTCTAGGTATTTCAGTTTTTTGGGTATTGTTATGAAAGGAATTGTTTGCCCTCTTTCTCTCTCAGTGAGTTTGTTGTTTTGTAGAATAAAGCTAGTGTTTTTAGTGTGTTGAACTTGTATCCAGCTACTCTACTGAATTTGGTTATTAAATCTAGAAGACTTTGGTGGAATTCTTAGGGTCTTCTATATAGACTATCATGTTATCTGCAAATAATGACAATTTGACTTCTTCATTTCCTATGTTTATTCATTTTATTTTTTTCTCTTGTCTAATTGCCATAGCTAATGTTTTCAAAACTGCATTGAACAGGAGTGTTGATAGTGGACATCCTGGTCTTGTTCCTGATTTTAATGTGAAGGATTTCAGGTTTTGACCATTTAGTATGATATTGGCTGTTGGGTTTTCATAGGCAGCTTTCATCTGATTGAGGTAGAGAGCAACTATTCCAATTTTTTGTAGGGTTTTTTCATATTTGCATGTTGGATTTTTTCAAATACTTTTTTTTTGCATCCATTCAGATGATCATATGATTTTTGCCCTTGCCTCTGTTAATATAGTGTATTACATTGATTGATTTGCATATGTTGAACCGTCCCTGGGATGAACCCCACTTGTTCAGGGTATATGATCTTCCTGATCATCTGCTGCATTCTGTTTGCCAGGATCTTATTAAGGATTTTTGCATCTATGTTCACTAGTGAAATTGGTGTATAGTTCTCTCTTTTCGGTTGGGTTGTTCTCTGCTTTGGTGATAAAGGTGATCCTTGCTTCCAGGAATGAATTTGGGAGTATTGCTTCCCTTTCAATTTCATTGAAGTTTAAACAGGAGTGGCAGTAGTTCCTCTCTAAATGTCTTGTAGTACTCAGCAGGGAAAACATCAAGACCTAGGCTTTTCTTAGTTAGTATGTTTTCAATTACATTTTCAATTTCATTGGTTGATATTGGGTTGTTTAGAATTTTTAGGTCATCCTGGTTAAACTTTGGTAATTCACACGTATCTTGGAATCTGCCCATTTTTTCTGTATTTTCCATTTTATTGGCATATAGTTTCAAGAGGTAAGTATTGATGATCCTCTGGATTTCTGGTGGGTCTGTTGTAATTTCACTCTTTTCTTTCCTAATTGCATGGATTCGGGCCCTTTCTTTCCTTTTTCTGATAAGGTTGGCTAATGGTTTGTCAATTTTGTTTATTCTTTTGAAAAACCAACTCTTGGTTCATTGATTTTGTGTATCATCCTCTTAGTCTCCATTGCATTGATTCCTGCACTGATCTGTATAATTTCCTCCCTTGCATGAGCTTTGGGTTTTTCCTGCTCTTCTTTTTCTAGAAGGTTGAGGTTCAGCATCAGGTTGTGTAATTGAGCTTGCTCCGTTTTCCTAAGGTGAGTATTCACTGCTATGAATTTCTCTCATATGACTGCATTCATTGTGTCCCATATATTCCAAAATGTTGTACTGGCATTGTCCTTTAGTTGTAGGAACTGTCTGATTTCTTCTTTAATTTCCTCTGTGACCCATTGGTTATTCAGAAGTATGTTGTGCAGTTTCCATGTGTTTATGAAATTCTTGCTGTTCTTTTTGCTATTGATCTCCAATTTCATCGCACTATGTTCTGATAACATATAGGGGATAACTTCAATTCCTTTGCACTTACTTAAACATTTTCTATGGGCAAGTATGTGGTCTATTTTAGAGAATGGGCCATATAAAGCTAAAAAGAATGTGATTTTGGGGGGTGGAACACTCTGTAAACATCTGTTAAGTTCATTTGTTCAAGAGTTTGATTGCATTCTAGTA